TACCCAACCTAGCAACAACTGAGTCGGACAGATTCGATATTCCCAAAGTAGGACTAGATGTCACGAGGAATGAATTTTATCCAAATGCTAATCACGAAGCCACAAATACCTTGCAAGAAGAACCAGCACCGCCACCCCAACCGCAGCTAGATGTATGGAACTCCATAGCACAGGCCATAAAGGAAGGCCCTTCTTTACCCAAAATAGAGCTCATGAGATTCGGTGGTGACCCCTGGAATATGTAGAGTTTGTGACAAACTTTAAAGATAACATAGAATCCCAAGTTTCCGATGACTCCCAGCGGTTCACTCGCCTGTTAGCGCAGTGTGTCGGCAAAGCGAAGGATGCAATCCGAAGTTGCGTCAACCTTGATGTCGGCCAGAGATATAAGGAAGCAAAGAGTTGTCTTCTTGAAAACTTTGGCCAGCCTCACATTATAGTAGAAGCTCATATGAAAAAGCTCAGAGAACTTCAAATTAGAAAAACTGATGCGAATGCCTTGATGGAGTTTGTGCGTCACCTAGAAGATTCTGAGAGAGCATTAAAGAGCATGGGATCCAGCTACTCCAATCGATTAGACAATGAAGATGTAATAGTTATGTTGATGAGGAAACTCCCCGAAGATGGCTTAAAGAGGAAGTGGGTGGACAGAGCTGGAGACCTTATCAAGAGCAAAGACTATGTACAATTCGATGACTTTGTAAATTTCTTGAAGAAAGTGGCAGGGCGTATAAACAACAGGTATGGGAGAGAGCTTAAGCAAGCCAGTGAAGACAAGAAATTTCAGAACAGGTCAAGATTCGAGCAGCAAAGGAGAGTTAACGCAAACGCAATTCAGGGTGGTTTGAATAAGGAAGATACACCTGTAAGAACTGGTCGTAAGTGCCCGCAGTGCTCTGGACCACACGGTGTCTGGAGGTGCCAAGTATTCAAGTCATGCACCTTAAAGGATCGTCTGAGAACTGTGAAACAACACAAACTTTGCAGAATATGTCTCGGCGAAGGCCATTTTGCGAGGTCATGCAAAAGTGGATTCACCTGCCGTGTAGCCGGATGCGGAAAACATCACCATTATCTAATCCATGATGATCAAGACTCTACGGTGGGCACAAAAGACAGCTAATTCGGCCATGTACAAATAACTTTCTGTCGTTAGTTTGGAACATAACGAAACTTCCTCACAGGATAGAACTTGCAATTCCTAAAAATCCTATCGTTTTTGTTTTTCGATTTTGTTACATTTTGGCGGGAAAATGACGTGCCCATTATGGCGCCAGAAAAATAAAAACGATCTAAGAAAATGCTAGTAACTTTTTTGAAGAGATTGTCCTATAAGGATCTCAAAACTGTAAAAACATTAAAAATACAACAATGCAGTGCAAAGATATGGCGATTCAAAGTTCGAAAAAAATCTATTTTTAGTAACAAAATGGCTGATTTTTCAGTAAAAATAGAATTTTGAATAGCCATATCTTCGCACTGCCTTGTTGTATTTTTAATATTTTTACAGTTATGAGATCCTTAGAGGACAATCTTTTCAAAAAAGTTACTAGCACGTTCTTAGCTCGTGTTTAATTTTTTTTCGCCAAAGTTGGCGTCATTTTCCCGCCAAAATGTAACAAAATCGAAAAACAAAAACGATAGGATTTTTAGGAAAGGCGAGTTCTATCCTGTGAGGAAGTTTTGTAATATTCCAAAATAACGACAGAAAGTTATTTGTACATGGCCGAATTAGCTGTAGGGGAACACTCCACCAATCAAGATAACGAGATGCAAAGTCACGACGGTTTAAAGAAGGATGCTGGGACCCAAAGTATTACAGCCGATGATAGACAGAATCAGGTAAATCTATATATGTCTACACCAACGACAGCCGGAACGTCAAAAGAGCGAGTCAACATTAGCGCAGTCAAAGTAAGTCGACCACGGGTTTGTTTTAAGGTAGTACCGGTCAAGGTGAGCAACCCTACCAGTGACAAGGAACTTGTTACGTACGCATTTTTAGACAGTGGATCCGATACGACTCTTTGTCTGGAAAGTTTAGTCGAAGAGCTATCAGTGATTGATGCGAAACTGGCTAAATACACTATGACGACAGTGAACTCGCAACAACAGAAGGCAGGCTATGAGGTACGGTTGGACATCGAATCGGTATCGAGCAGTGAAAAGTTCCAGCTTGAAGGTGTACTAACCACAGACAGCTTACCAGTGACTCCGAGACACGTAGCGACCAACAAAGAAGTTCAAGAGTGGCCTCATCTGCAGGACATTGTCTTACCCGAAACTGGAGATGAACAGGTTACCATTTTGATAGGAAGTGATCGACCTGATATAATTGATAATTTTCTCGACCGAAGAGATGGAACAAAAGGGCAACCATGTGCAGTTAAGACACCTCTAGGATGGACAGTGTATGGTCCAATGGGAGAACCTCGATGCGAGCAAGTGTCCATTAATTCCGTTAGGTCAGAATTCGACATTCTCGACCATAAATTAGAGCGTATGTACAACGCAGAGTTTGATGACATCAATGACGATATTGATGAGAACATGTCCGTTGAAGATCGCTACGCAGAAGAAATCATGAACAAAACCACCGTATTGAAAAATGAGCATTACGAGATCGGACTTCCCTTTAAACACAACCCACCACAACTCCCAGATAGTCTTTACACAGCTGAGAAGCGATTAGAATCCTTAAAATCGAAGATGGAGAGAAACGAAAACTTCCGTAAGAAATACAGCAGCGTTATGGCGAAATACCAAGAAGAAGGAGCGGCGAGAGAAGTCCCCGAGGAGGAATTAACAATGCTCAAACAATTATGGTACCTCCCTCATCACGCAGTCTGGCACCCAAGGAAGCCTGAGGAACCTAGAGTAGTTTTCGATTGTGCTAGCAAGAGCAACGGAACTTCGTTGAACGATGAACTGTTGCGTGGGCCAGAAAACACTAGTTCCCTCATTGGCGTGATACTGAGATTCAGAGTTGATAATATAGCCGTAACCGCTGACGTGAAGAGAATGTTTCATCAGGTCTATGTTAAACCTGAGCATTGCGGGCACTGTGTTATCTTTGGTGGCCCGATGGTGACATCTCGAAGGCGGCTAAGACGCATCAGATGCTCGTCCATATATTTGGAGCGAAGTCCTCACCAAGTGTTGCAGGGTATGCTCTCAGAAGAACCACGAAGGATAACCTCTACGAGTATTCGTCAACTGCTGTGGACGCAGTTCTGCGTGATTTCTACGTCGATGACCTTTTAAAGTCGTTTTCCGAAATGGACGAAGCAAAACTCGTAAGTAAAGAGCTGCAGAGCTTACTAGCGAAGGGAGGATTTCAGCTCACCAAGTGGAATTCGAACTCGCGAGAAGTGCTGGAAGAATTCTCAACCGAAGAAAGAGCACCGGTGGTTAAAGATTTGAACCTTGAATCCGAAGCATTGCCCATGGACCGTGCGCTTGGCGTTAATTGGGATGTAGAAAGAGACACGATAAGCCTGGTCGTCAATAACAAGACGGAACCGAACAATCGCAAGGGTGTGTTATCCTCGATTGCAACTGTTTACGACCCCCTTGGATTTGCTAGTCCACTTATCCTACCAGCTAGAGAGATCAATCAAGAATTGTGTAGATTGAAGTTCGACTGGAACAGTGAACTTCCCAAGGAATTACACGCTCGGTGGACGAAATGGAAGGAAGGCTTGGCCAGCCTAGACAGATACGAAGTACCAAGATGCTTTAAACCGAAGGAATTCGGACAGATCGAGCAGGTAGAGCTTCATCACTTCGCCGACGCTTCTCAAGAACATGGCTACGGTACAGCATCGTACTTGCGTCTTGTGAACGAGAAAGGAGAAATCCACTGTTGTTTTGTTATGGGAAAGTCTCGAGTCAAACCCCTCAACAAGGCAGTCACGGTTCCCAAATTAGAACTGACAGCAGCTACTTTGGCCACGCGTATGAACAAGATTATCGTTAAGGAGTTACGAGGCAGACTAAAGATCGACCGAATAATGTTCTGGGCTGATTCGATGATCGTTCTGAAATATATAGCCAACGAGACACGGCGGTTCGTTACGTTCGTCGCAAATCGCGTTGCTGCCATCCGTCAGGAATCAACACCCGAACAGTGGCGCCACGTAAGATCGGAGTTTAACCCAGCGGATTATGCGTCGAGAGGAATTCAAGCTTTCGAGACAGATAAACTAGAGCGATGGAAACGCGGACCAGAGTTCCTCTGGAAACCAGCCGATGAATGGCCTTCCCAACCCACAGATCTGACAGACGGTCTTGATGAGAATTCCGAAGGCGTGAAGAAGGAAAAGGTCGTAATAAGCGGAACAGCTGTGCAAGGCGAATTTTGGAATTCATTGTTTCAACGATTTTCAACTTGGGAAAGACTTCGAAGAGTTGTCGCCTGGCTGATCAGAGCGTGTCACAAACGAACGTTGCATAATTCTAACGAAATGAGAAGCAATGACAACAAGAAGGGCGTCCAAAAACAAGGTAGACCATTGTTATCAGTATCCGAACTCGAAGAAGCTGAAAAGAGAATAATTGAGCACGTTCAGCGAGAATCATTCCCGGACGATGCGGAGACGGCAAAGAAAGGTAGCCTTGCCCAACTTAAACCGTTCAGAGAAGAAAAACTGCTTCGATTGGGAGGAAGATTAGAACGATCGAGCTTAAGCTATGACGCCAAACATCCTTTTATATTGCCGAAGGACCACCCGGTATCAGAATTGATCGTATTGCATTATCACCATCTTAACGGACACGTAGGAAGTTATCAGACATTAGCAAAAACGAGAGAGCGGTTTTGGATCACCAATGGCGTTTCGTATGTGAGACGTGTTCTCAAGAGTTGCCAAGTTTGTAAACGAGAAAACGCGAGATTAGGAGAGCAAATGATGGCACCGCTGCCAAGCGTGAGAGTATCGTCAGATAACGATGGAATCGCGTACCCATTCGCGGCAGTAGGCGTAGATTACTTTGGACCTCTGTACGTCAAGCTTGGCCCTAAAACGAGATCGAAGAAGAATGAGACATTAGGAAAGCGCTTTGGATGTATCTTCACATGTTTACGATACCGAGCAGTACACATCGAAGAAGCAGAAGACTTATCGACCGATAGTTTCATCAACGCCGTCCTACGCTTTGTTGGTCGAAGAGGTGCACCTCGCATCATCTACAGCGACAACGGCACCAATTTCAAAGGATCAGAAGCTGACGTGATCGAAGCTTTGAAGTCATGGGACGTGGAAAGGATCCAAGGTTCGCTATCACGCAGAAGTGTTGAATGGGTGTTCAATCCCCCGTTAGCTAGTCATCAAGGAGGCGTTTGGGAACGCTTAATACGTTCAACTAAGAAGATTTTGCGCTCGTTGGTCGGACAACGCGAACTAAATGACGAAAGTTTACGTACACTCATGGTAGAAGTCGAAAAAATAATGAACGACCGACCAATTACGCCAGTCTCAAGTGACCCACACGATTTAGAAGCACTTACCCCTAATCATATACTCCTTCTACGTCAGAATCCTTCAACGTCAGCCGGTGAGTTTGACGGATTGGACAAGTTCAAGGCAAGATGGAAACACGTTCAGATGTTAGCAGACACGTTCTGGGAAAGATGGAAAAATGAATATTTGCCCACTTTACAGGAAACTCAAAAATGGTTGAAGAAGATGCCCAATTTCAGTGTTGGAGATTTGGTACTTATGGTCGACAAGGATGTTCCTCGTGGTCAATGGCCGAAAGGATTGGTCGAGCAAGTGTTTCCCGACACTGAAGGAGTTGTACGTCGAGTGGTAATCCGAACAGCAGATGGCGTCTACCGAAGAGACGTGAAAAAGCTATGCCTCCTAGAAGAGAAACTGATGAAATGCATGGAAGATCAGGAACATATTGATGAGTGAACGGATAAGTGACCAGTTGTTGCATAGTAACTAGTAGTATCATTAAGTAACTATTTCATTTAGATTGTTTATATTAAGATTGAAAGACTCCTCCGTCGTCTTTCGGGGGGGGAGCGTGTACGAACTGTTACATGAAGTACATTGCTTGCGGGCGCAGGAGAAAAGCGCGCGAAAACATTGTGACGAGTTTTATCTTTTATCGAGTTTGGTATTATCACTGTGTTATATATTTGTATTGTTGATTATAAAGGAGCAAATAACGTCACAATAACTTGTAAGTAATCCTGTTTCTAGGATCGTTAAGTATCTTTACACACACTAATTTTTGAGTAAACTAACTAATAATGTAACATATTTTTAGCGAATCTAGTGCTGACTAGTGCAGTCGTCAGTGCTGAATAAAAGTATTGTGAAAAGACAAATTTACGAGAATTGAAGTTTACACATGTCTTGGCAGGTGTTGTGGAGTAATGGTTTACAAAGTTGGGTGAAAGAAATCAATCTCCCAAAGAAAGTTTTGGATATTGTTAAAAACGGAAATTCGTACGAAGTCAACCGAAATTATCTTGAAGAGTTTGGACAAAAGAGAGCTGTACTGCAGCAAACAGCTACAAAGAGTGATGATGGATCTAATGTAATGAAAAGGTAATTTTTATTATTTTATTGTTAATTAATTTTTAAATAATTAAACAAATTAAATAGCCATTAAGCCATTTTAGTACCACAATTTACACCATGTTTCTAATTTAGTTCTGGATTCGCTGTTATTAATGACAAAGACAATCAAGTAATGGAAGGTGAAAATGTCAGAGTGTTGAAATGTGGGACTGAAAAGGGAAAACATAAATGTAAAAATCAGCGAACTGCAGGTACAATTTTTAGCAGATCAATTCCCAACATACTGTATCACTGTACGTTATTCACTCCCGAGTGTAGGGTGTTCATGTCATTGCCTATTAAATGCTACAGTATGTTGATGTCCTTGAGCCGTTTTCTTTTTGTTTATGCCTGTGCACAGCAAGGTTTAATAATTAATAAATAAATAAATAACAATCATTACATAGCGTAACAGACGCTAGCAGTAAAAATAAATTTCACATTTTTGTGAACAGCCCCTCACACAAATCGTGGCAAGTTGACAAAATAAAATGTCAAATGAGCTTTAAATCAAACTGCCATCATATCATGATACACTACAGTAATTGTGTCACAACAGTTTCATACAGAATGAACGAAGGAGAATGCTAGAACATTTTTGAAATTTACCAGAATCAAGTCCAGGGCTCGAAACTTGAAATTTTTGTCAGTATCCAAGTGGATACCAGCATCATAGAATCTAGTATCCTCCTTGAAATATAGTAACCCAGATCCGGATACTAGATATTCTATTTCCAGTATCTAAGCAAGGCAAAATTTTACACTGAAAATAACACACTGCGGCGATACGAAAGAAAGCACCGTTTGTGAAATTTTTTTTTTTTAAATATTTTGCCAAAATCCGTAGAAATTGAAGTTTGGAAACAACATCTACATGATTATCTACTATCGCAATTTCTAAGTTTTCCTAGTATCCAGTTGGGATACTGAGCTTATGATACCTAGTATCCAAAATTAAAATCTGATATCCTGTGGATATCGGGATACCGCAAGTTTTGAGCCATGAAGTCCACTTCTTAAAGATAAGTTTATTGAAACAACTATGTTATCTTGTATTTCATGAGCAACTTGATTTCATGAGCAACAGTAGCACTTTAAAAAGTTGCCACACCTATATTGCTCACCCTTACTGTCAACATGTTACTGCTCTACTGACTCTACTGCACATCTCAATGCCTAGATTGCTAAGGATATTTACTCTTATTTACTTACTATTGTTCCGCAGGTATATTAGTATTTGAAAAGCCATGTGGAGTTGTTATTGGAGTTAGAGAGCTGTTTGGTTCAGAAAGTAAGAGCCAGGTGTATGCTCACTTGCACACCCTATTTCAGGACAAAAAGATTGATGATGTTGGTATGTTTAAATGTGGTTATATAATACAAATAATTTTTGTAACACATTTTCTCCCAGTGGGAAAGATACAGTAGCCAAAGCAAATGGTCATATGGATGCTGTGCTAATACAGTAAACCTGTATCTTCTAAGGTTTAAATATTGCAAATCATTGAAAAGTTGCATAGTTTTAAGATTGGGAAAAGACCATGCAACCCCTAACCTACTAACCAAATCCAAAATTACCATCACTGATGCTAACATTTTAAACATACAGTACAGCATATAATGAGTAAAAAAAGACAGAACATTGGGCCACATTAAAAAAAGACAGAACATTGGGCCACATTCATATATTACACTGAATTAAAATGAAACCAATGCAGAGACTGTGTGTTGTAATGCTATGGCCCTTTAATTCTACAAATGGTATAAGTTATTTTTCTTTTCATCCAACTATGTTCTTTAAAAAAACCTTTTTGATTGTGGCACAGTATAGGGAAACAACAGTAGGGCCACTCAGCGTAAAAACATGTCCACATTGTTTACTGGCTGCCAACTTAATTTACATACTGGCAGCCAGTAAACGGCAGAAAATTAAAATCACTATAAAATTGTATTACAGAGCAATGATTTTGGCCACGTAAGACACCTGGGACCTACCTTAAATAATTCCCACTTTTGTCTCCCCTAAGTGGCCTTACTGCTTGTTTCTCATATACTGTGATTCTGGTTATACTGTAGAGGTGTTATGGAAAACCTTAGAATTATACCTCTTTACGTACCATTAATAAGTAAACACTAGGCTTCGGACAGTTGCATATCGCAAGTGTTCTTTGTTCACTGTATTAGTTCATTGCAGTCTATGCAGGAAACAAAAAGTTTTTCACAGAATGTAACCCACAGTATTACTTCATTACCTAGCTGCTCAATCGTTTCACAGCTGTACACAAAGTGTATGACGATGCATCATTTCATAGTTAACTTATGTGTTCTATCATTCTAATTGTGTAGAGACAATTTGCTATGATGATGCATGCCACCTTAAAAAATTTGCAATGAACCCCAAAAGGTCAAAAATATCACAGAGGTGGCAACCAATATCGCATCCAAAAACATTGTATGCGACAGATTCCATTTCAAAAATCATATTGACAAATGGTGTATCAAAAATTGCAATCCCTATGATTGTGAAAACTTGAAGGTATGTGTTATTTGGAAAATGACATTTAATATATTTATACAGTATCAAATCAATGTAGTGACATTTAAACCAGTCACTGTACATTTACAGTATATACTTTATCTTGCAGAATGTTAATACTGAAGCATGTGAGCAGCTATTTTCCTGGTTGTCAAAGTTTTCAATCATCACGAAACAAATGAACCGTTGGCGATTTCTATTTTTAATGTTATATGTGTTAGACGCACACAATGACACTGTAGTACAGTGACCTATAATTGGAAATAGTGTATTATTTACACACATAAAAATCTCACATCTTGTAACAAGTCTGCCAACAAGCTGTGAACAAGATGTATTCGCACTGCTTGTCACAAGTTGTGAACAGGTTTCAAACAACTTATTGACAACTTGTAACAACCTTGTTGAAATTATCACACTTGTTGCAAGGTTGTTCTGACAAGTCTGTCACATGCTTAATATAACAACCTTGTAACATCCTTGTTATATCATGAATGTAACAAACTTGTTAGCAGAGTCTTGTAACAAGGCTGATAATGCCATCAAGCTTGCTACAAGTTGTTAACAGCTTGTTTCAAACTTGTTGCAACAAACTTGGAACAAACGGTGCGAACACAACTTTTTGACAGCTTGTGAACACACTTGTAACAACTTGTTTGCAGAGTTGTTACAACTTGTGCGTTTTTATGTGTTTACCAGCACTGTATATTTAGTACGTAGTATGGAAAGAGCATGCCTGGATTATTTGTTGAACAACTAGTAGTTAACCCATTAAGCACCAATGTTCACCAATGTGCCTAGTTTTCTATTTCACTCTGTCTTATGCCAGACAATTTATTCGTCAAGGACAGATTCTTGCACTCTAATGGGTTAATAAAGTAGTTTTTGCATGATATATTCAATACACTTTTAGAGTACATTTACAATGAATATTTACTGAATTCACTACCATTTGCAAGCAACCCTTAACTGCAAAAGTTTTTTAACATTTGTTTACATTTCGTTTGTAGTAAAATTAATGAAACACAGGCAATATACATCCGTTTACTGATTTTATTTTGTGCCCTTACCATGGCGCAACAAATAAAATTGTTGAAAATTAATGTTGAAGCTTGCCAACCCATAATAGCCACAAGTATTATGGAGTATCCATACAGTAAATTTTTAACAAATATTGCTGCACTGAAAAATGATGATTGGGAAGCAATGCGCCCTTTTGAAATGGTTGCCCTCACCACTTCACATTGCTTCTGGCACCCCTGGCAGATACTACACAACAGTAGCCATGAAATCAACTACTAAAAGTAGTAACTTCTCAAATACTATAGTAATTGACACACTCATTAGTAAGTCATAACAAGCAGGTGCGAGATATAAATTTTAATGCAAAAAATATCAGTTGGAAGTTATGTATAAAAATAGTGTTTTCATGCAAGCATGGAGACTGCTATATAGTTTAGTCTATAATAATAGAATAATATAATATAATGAATTTGCCAGTAGTATAAAACACCTAGTTCAGTATTAAGTCATTGCTTAAAACTACAAACTAAATAACATTCCAGGTTTCTATCATAAATATATGTTTACTATTGTCCTGTTTATAAAAATGCCTGAAGTTTCCCCATGGGAAATATTATAGTTTTTTAGCCATGGAAACAAGGTAAACATAAAAATATTTTAGGTTACGCTAACATTTCAACTAGCCTCCTCCGCAGCCATCTCACCCGAGGAATCGGGTGGTGGGAAAGTTTTTTTTCTCTAAACCCAGTCACAAGCTAAAACCCATAGAGAGGCCTGCAGAGGAGTCTAGTTACATTTCAACATGGTCCAGAAAGATTTTAAGTTTTTTTTTAAATATTAAAAAATATTTAAAAAAAATCGCAATGCTTGATATTTTATTTTAATCAGATGTGAGACTGACAGTGGCTTAGCCTAAATTCACGTATCATTTGTTTCCAGCATCCCTTCATCTGAATATTTTCCATTGAATACCTTCATATTAAAACCCGGCAAGGCCATTAGGGGCAGACCATGACTTTACTACCATTTGCAAGGAAATGTTCTTTCACATTTCACTTTACGTTTCAAAAGTGCATGTTTGTAACTGGGAACCTTCACCTTTGAAGGTTGCCATATATATACCGAATATTATATAATATAGCGATGATATATTAGGCAAACGTAGAGTGTTTCATTTAAAACGCTGCCTCGTCCCCAGGCGCTAATAAAACATTTCATGCGAGTCACTATATGAAAGGTTTACATGAAGTAGTGCATCATGACGAAGAACCAGAACGCTCATATCCCACTGTCCTTTGCGCGCCTATAATGTGACGTACTACTTCATGTAAACCTTTCATATAGTGATTCGCAAATTTTTTAATTAGCGCCTGGGGACGAGGCAGTTCAAAACGTATTCAATGTAAACGTTTGAAACGTAAACAAATTGTATTTGTATAATTTTTGTAATTCCACAATTTAGCCTGCTATGTTTACGGCAAACATCAAACCGCTAGCGAAGTTTTTGATTTGGGCCATTCCATTTAATATACACACCCCCTATGGACGAGGTCAATAAAATTTGAACCCCTAAGAAAAAAAGATCAAAGTGCCGACACAAACACCCCCCCCCCCCCATAAGAAATTTTTGCCTTACCGCTCAGAAAAAAACACAAAGATCAAAGGATGCCAATGAACACCCCCCCCCCACATAAGAAATTTTTGCCCCCCTCAGAAATTCTCGTCCATAGGTGGGTGTGTATATTAAATGGAATGGCCCTTTCACAGCTATATTATAAATTGATAATAGCTTTTACACCAGTTTTGAAATATAAACACTGAATATTATATAAAATAATTAATATAAACACTTTTTAAAATTAGGTTTTTATTTCATTTCATATTCTTGCAAAGCCTGATTGTTTATATCTTCATCATTTATTATACTGTAGAAGCATGAAAATATAAACCGTTGTCGAATATAGTTAAATATTTTGATTTTTGAATACCGAAATGTAAACAAAGGCGTTGTTTACATACGGACTGTATCATACCCACGGGCTTTAATAGGACAAATTCAATCTGACAACAATAGTATAATTCTTAATCTAAATTGCAGTTAAAATAAAGTGTACGCCACCTGAACTGTTCAATATCTTGCTTCCAAATCCTTAAAACATCTAATACATTTTTGCAAATACTGTATATTTTCAAAATGTGCCACAAAAACGTTATTTACTAATTATAACATTTAGCTTTTAACAATCATACCAATCTTTTTAAAGTACTGAACTTGACTTCATTTTTAAATTTCGTTCAACCGATTTAATACTCGTGTTTTTATCGTGTTTGTTTTGAAAGCCCCCTCATTCCAGTGGAGAACCTCCCCCCCCATTCTCGTACCCAGAGCCCTTCTTACGCGCGTACCCCTCCTCCCCTGGCAGATTGTTTTCGAACGAGGAGGCCAGGTTGCCCAGCCGCTCTCATGGCGACAGGCTACGCCTCTTTCGAAAATGGAATTTTGGATTCTGCACAAACAATGAAACAAAGTTCGTCTTGTGTCACGAGAATTGCCGCAATGGTGAACAAACCAAGTTCTTTCGAAAGAGGAATGTTCGTACTATTAGGTAGTGTGAAATTTATTCCTCTGCAACGATTCTGAGGCGAGATACTGGACTCGATCTCGGAGAGTATATCAGATAAGTGGCTAGCCTAAGTTGTAGCTATTTATGTCCTATGTAGCCAGTACTGACGACCGTTCGATTACGACGAAAACGTAAAGCAATCGCATCAACTATTTTACTGCTAATATTTTTTGAATTATTTCGTTATTAAATATTTTAATATATGGTTAAATATTCTGTATAAATATTCAAATATATAGAACATTCGGGCCGTTTCATGATATACCTGAGGGGAGCCTGAGGGGGCAGCTGGGCAATTTGTCGACGCTGACCAAAAATAGCGGCTAATTTCTTCTTGAGTTCCCATTTTCGCGTCGAAGAACAAAAATGTAGACTTTCGGAGAGTATTTTACTAGTAGCTACTGTCAAATATGTTTGTGAAACAGTTGATAATCTCACTGAGGAAGACCAACGGTTTCTGAAAAGCTAAAGTACGTCGAAATCAGATTTGGCATTTGGAATAGATTATATTTTCACCGGGGAAACATTAACTAAATGGATATTTACATCAAGTCATCAACACTAAATTTTTGCTCGTGCCTACAGAGCTAGTTGGATTAAAACAGATGTTAAGAAGTAAGTGAAAATATGAATTTTGTGAACTATACTTTCATTAAAGTGTTTCACAAGGGCTGCTAATGTCAAACTACACGTGTGACGGAGTTGTCAGTATACCCATATATTTTCAATGTTTTATAATGGCACGATCGCCAAATTATACTTTTCATCCGAGTTTGATTTGTCAGTTTCATATCCATTCTCCACAAACCAAGGAAAAAATACTTCTACCGGTAATGTGTCTTTGTGAGAACGAAAGTTGTATATATAAATAAACATGCCCACTCGGTGCAGTGCAATGGACATTCATCATTTAACAATACACAAATACAAACAAATATTTATTCTCAACATGCAAATTGGATGATAATTCGCTAAATGCTCTCAATACTTGTTAAAGTTTACCAGAGCAGGTACGGTCAAACTAAATTATATATATTTCATATTTGTATTCCCTGCCAACAAACCACAACAGTATTTATCGTAATTACCATCGTCGCAGTTGAGTGTCTACAAGGTCAACAAATACTCCGTAATTATACGCGAAAGTTAATGTCGCCATAAAAACGCAGATAACAAAACACACATGTATGTAAATATTTATGTCTCAACACATTTTCAACAAAAAGTACTACCAACTGTCTACAATTTTACCCATATTTCACCCTATGCATGAAACCACTTCACGTCAACCAATTCACCATCCGCACGGATCGTCAGTGTTTTGGGGTCTACCCTCTGGCACCATGTGCACCATTCACGGATCATGAAACCACTTCCACCATCCGTCAACCAATTCACCATGCGCACCATCCGCACGGATCGTCAGTGTTTTGGGGTCTACCCTCTGGCACCATGTGCACCATTCACGGATCGTGAAACCTCTTCCACCATCCGTCAACCAATTCACCATGCGCACCATCCGCACGGATCGTCAGTGTTTTGGGGTCTACCCTCTGGCACCATGTGCACCATTCACGGATCGTGAAACCGCTTCCACCATCCGTCAACCAATTCACCATGCGCACCATCCGCACGGATCGTCAGTGTTTTGGGGTCTACCCTCTGGCACCATGTGCACCATTCACGGATCGTGAAACCCCTTCCACCATCCGTCAACCAATTCACCATGCGCACCATCCGCACGGATCGTCAGTGTTTTGGTGTCTACCCTCTGGCACCATGTGCACCATTCACGGATCGTGAAACCCCTTCCACCATCCGTCAACCAATTCACCATGCGCACCATCTGCACGGATCGTCAGTGTTTTGGGGTCTACCCTCTGGCACCATGTGCACCATTCACGGATCGTGAAACCGCTTCCACCATCCGTCAACCAATTCACCATGCGCACCATCTGCACGGATCGTCAGTGTTTTGGGGTCTACCCTCTGGCACCATGTGCACCATTCACGGATCGTGAAACCTCTTCCACCATCCGTCAACCAATTCACCATGCGCACCATCCGCACGGATCGTCAGTGTTTTGGGGTCTACCCTCTGGCACCATGTGCACCATTCACGGATCGTGAAACCTCTTCCACCATCCGTCAACCAATTCACCATGCGCACCATCCGCACGGATCGTCAGTGTTTTGGGGTCTACCCTCTGGCACCATGTGCACCATTCACGGATCGTGAAACCGCTTCCACCATCCGTCAACCAATTCACCATGCGCACCATCTGCACGGATCGTCAGTGTTTTGGGGTCTACCCTCTGGCACCATGTGCACCATTCACGGATCGTGAAACCTCTTCCACCATCCGTCAACCAATTCACCATGCGCACCATCTGCACGGATCGTCAGTGTTTTGGGGTCTACCCTCTGGCACCATGTGCACCATTCACGGATCGTGAAACCCCTTCCACCATCCGTCAACCAATTCACCATGCGCACCATCTGCACGGATCGTCAGTGTTTTGGGGTCTACGCTCTGGCACCATGTGCGCCATTCGCGGATCGTGAAAACTCTTCCACCATCCGTCAACCAATTCACCATGCGCACCATCCCCACGGATCGTCAGTGTTTTGGGGTCTACCCTCTGGCACCATGTGCACCATTCACGGATCGTGAAACCGCTTCCACCATCCGTCAACCAATTCACCATCTGCACAGATCGTCCATATGGTTCACAGATCGTCCATATGGTTTACGGATCGTGAAACCCCTTCCACCATCCGTCAACCAATTCACCATCTGCACAGATCGTCCATATGGTTTACGGATCGTGAAACCAATTCACCATCACTGAACCAATTCACCATCTGCACAATGTAGTTACCAAATCCACGATCCGTGTCGTATCGTGGTATTGGACCATACTCGGAAAAGGGGCATTTTCAGCACAATGTATAGATAACTGAGAGATCGTTGCCTTCTCAGCAGACTTGGCAACAAATGGCAGGTTGCTTATAGGTCTGAAGTTTTCAAACATAAAATCAAGTCCAAATTTCTTCAAAAGAGGTAAAACTAGCGCTATTTTCCAATGATCGGGTACAATTCCTTCAGAAAAAGAGAGATTAATCATTTCAACGATGATTGGGGCCAATTCATGACAACAGAGTTTAACCAATGATGTAGGAATAGGGTCCAACTTACTGGAAGCATTCGAAGATTCAAGAATAATCCTCCGAACTTCATCCTCAGAAACCGAAGAAAATTCATCCAATTTCACTTCAGGCAGATGAAATGGAACATTAGGTGGGTTAATGGAAATCTCGTCAATCTTTGATTTCACGAGTTCAATTTTCTTACAAAAGAACTCACCAAACTCGTTAGCAAGGATGGAAGGATCGTGATTTTCAGGAAACTCCTCAACTAGACGTTCTTTGCTCAAAGAGTTCACAATTTGGAATAATTTTCTAGAATCACCAGCAGATTTGTCAATAAGGTTGGAATAAAACATTTTTCTGGTGTCATTCAATATAGCACTGTAGTCATCGCGTACCTTACGATAAGCATTCTTATCACATTCAAGTTTCGATTTAAGCATGATTCTTTCCAGTTTCCTACGTTTAGCTTTCAGCTTCTTTAAACTATCATTAAACCAAGGAACCATTGGTCGAACAGTCATAATTTTCGATTTCAAAGAAGCATGCTTATCGAGAATAGAACGTAGGGTAACATCATAGCATTTTGACATATCATTAACACTTGACCAAGTTTTCTGAAATAGATCTGAGGCGCATATATCAGCTCTAAAGGCATTGAGGTCAATATGTTTAACTTTGCGATAGCAAACGTCTTTAACTAGGATGTTTGGGCGAGGAATATCCAACAAACATTCAACAAAAAAATGATCAGACAAAGCAAACGTCACCAAAGGAGAGGTGATTGTGACATCATTAATTGATCTAGTGATAATCAAATCAAGGGTATGACCTGATGAATGAGTTGGGACATGAACATGTTGGATAAGTCCAAATGTATTCATTAAGTCCGCAAACTTTTTCGCGTTTGCTTCTGTTGGACAATCAACGTGAAAATTAAAATCACCTGTAATCAAGAGTACTTCGGGAATTATAACAATGTTCTCCAAGTATGATGAAAACTCTTCGAAAAACACATTTGATGAAACCGGGTGATCTTCCGAGTAGGGAGTTCGATAGATTGTCACCACTTTAATGGTTTGCTTATGCACACAAACATTCCACTCCGAGAATTCAAACGAATTAAATTTTCCACAGTCATTGGATTTTACATTTAACGATTCTTTGCACAGAATACCCGTGCCGCCACCACTTCTACCAGACTGTCTTGGGAAAGATCTAAACACAAATCCTGCAGTAGATAGTCCAGCAATGCTGACAGAGTCACATTCCTTTAACCACGTTTCAGTGATAGTACATATATCAATACAGCTATCAACCATATGATCAATGATAACGGCGATCTTGTTCCTTACAGAGCGCGAATTAACACAAGCAAATCTGAGACAAGTTAGTTTCTTTGGCATTACGTCAGCATCATTTTGGATACAACTTCTATGATTTGATTCTCAATTGAAATTGGGTTAAGCTCGGGTTGATTCCGTGCAAAAGAAATTCGTATCTCGTGACATTTATCAGCATTTAATTGCATTCTATTGATATTGGACCAATCTAAAATTTCATTTGCAATCAGTTGAGCTTCACTGTGCTCGCCTTGCAATACGACTTCCGACGCCGTGGTATCGTCAACGTATTTCCATAAGTTCTCACTATGTTTCTTCAAATCATTAATCATTATTAAGAAGAGCCAAGGGCCTAATTTGGTTCCTTGAGGAACACCAGCCGGTACTTGGCCCCATTCAGAAAGGCAACTATTTGACAGCTTAACCCTTTGATATCTATCCGATAAAAAGTCGATAATCCAGTTGATGATACTAGTTGGTAAATCTAAAGCACCTAACTTGATCCTTAGGATACTATGATCGATGAAATCGAATGCCTTTTTATAGTCAAATAAAAACACTCGGATAGTTGCTCCTGTTCCGTCCAGCATTGAGGTCCAGTGATGTAACATGTCTATTAAAGCAAAAGTGGTTGAAGAATTAGGAATAGAACCAAATTGATTTGAGTCGATGGATTTCAGAACCGCAGGTTTGATATATCTATTTACCACACATTCTTCAGCTACTTTGGATATGCTCGGGGTGAGTGAAATAGGTCTGAGATCTTTTTCTAAGATTTGAACTGTCTTAGATTTAGGTAGAGGTAAAACATTGGCTAGTTTCCACATCGATGGAAGTCGTTGTTGCTTGAAGGAAGCATTTAAGATGGTACTAATTGGGAACGCTAATATAGCTGCATAATCACGAAGAAGCCAATTGGATATTTCATCAGGACCACAAGTTTTTGTAGGGTTCAGCTTTGATAAATATGAATACACTGTTTCTTCAGTGACTACTAAAAACTCAGGGTTGTTAACTTCTAGCTCGAAAGGAAGAAGGGGGCTGGGCAGTTTATATACAGATAAGGGATCCAAGAAAGCTTCATTGATCTTGTTAGCTAATTCTTGCTCAGATAATTGTTCGAGGTTTTCAATATCCATTATATTTCTAATATCACAAGATCTAGTAGATGCCATTCCACTTAAACGCTTTACTTCTTTCCACCATTCCTTGGAGTCTGTTTGTTTCATTTGATGTACACGGAGTTTATAATAGTTTGATTTACAGATTTTCCTTTCTCGATTTACTTGGTTTCGAAGAGATTTAAACCTGCTCGAGTCAGGGCCATAGGTAGAAAAAGCTTTCTGCCTTTCAATGATCAGCGATTTGAAATGGTTCGTTATCCAGGGGGCATCGACAGGACATTTCTTTGATCGTGTCATCGGCATTAATATATTAATCCCAGTAAGGACTATGTTTTGAAACATGTTCAATAACTAATCACAATCATTAGTAGATGGAATAATTTGAGGCCAATCAATTTCGAATATTTTCTGGTATTCTATTCCATAATTTAGCCCCACTGTAACTGAAACTTTTTTTAAAAAATTCTGTACTGGGCCTTGGAATAAAAAGCCCAGTTGAAGAACCTCTTAAATTATAACTATTTACAGTGTTGGAAGATTGGAAAATGTTACACAGTCTTTGTGGAGCTAGTTGATTTACTGTTTTGTACATGAGTTTGGCCCATAGATATCTTATATACACTAGATAGTGCATCTAATTATTCTGAAGTTCAAAAATTGAAGCCGTGATTGCAGTCTCAGGTCGTTCCCATGAAATTAGAAGATTCGTATATTTTCTATTTCTTAAACAGGGAACTTAAACATTAAGTTAACCCTATTCCAAATTCGTTTTTAAAATATTCAAATGATGAAAATTATTGTTGTTTTTAAGCGTTTATTAGCAAGTGGGAACGACCAACATGGCCGCCATCTATTCAAATGGGGGTAACCGCTGGAATATTGTTGGCTTCAATTTTACTAAAAGAGATGCGCTATCTAGTGTATATAAGATATCTATGGTTTGCCCTTCATTAATGCTCTACGTTCTTCAAGGGATGTCCAACCAAGAGCAGTACGAGCTAAGATAGACTGTCCATGCTCAATTTAAAATTCATAATTACTCTCGCCGCTCGATTTTGCAATTTTTGAAGACGTTCGCCGAGGTCTTTGCCAAGCTCATCCCAAACCTCACAACAGTAATCAAAATGCGGCTGGATCAATGCATTATACACCAGCACTAATGTATCTCGGTCTACAAATTCTTTAAGTTTTTTTAACGCACCAATCCCCGAAGATACTTTACTAGCGATATATTCAATATGTTTTTCCCAGTTTAGGTTCTCATCGATTTCAACTCCTAGCACTTTTGCGCTTTTTACTCTTTTGATTGGACATGTGTCGATCTTAACTGTGGGTTGGACATCCATGCTATTAATCTTAGAACGTGATCCAAATATCGACGTCATCAACACCTAAGTTGATCTTGTTTATGACGTCGACGTCATAAACACCTAAGTTGGTCGTGTTTATGACGTCGAATATCGACGTCATATACACCAAAGTTGATCGTGTTTATGACGTCCAATATCGACGTCATAAACACCTAAGTTGATCGTGCTTATGAGGTCAAAAATCGACGTCATAAACATCTAAGTTGATCGTGTTTATGACGTCGAATATCGACGTCATGAACACCAAAGTTGATCGTGTTGATTACGTCGAATATCGACGTCATAACCGCCTAAGTTGGTCGTGTTTATGACGTCGAATATCGACGTCATAAACACCTAAGTTGATCGTGTTTATGACGTCGACGTCATAAACATCTAAGTTGATCGTGTATATGACGTCGAATATCGAAGTCATCAACACCAAAGTTGATCGTGTTTATGACGTCGAATATCGACGTCATAAACACCAACGTTAATCGTGTTTATGACGTCGAATATCGACGTCATAAACAGCTAAGTTGATCCTGTTTGTGACGTCCAATATCGACGTCATAAACACCTAAGTTGATCGTGTTTATGACGTCGAATATCGACGTCATAAACATCTAAGTTAGTAGTAATATAGGGGCCGTTCGGGCCTTATTTTTGAGGGTGCGTAAGGGTGCGCTAATTAATATTCATACAAATGAGGGTGCGTAAGGATGTTGAGGGTGCGCTAATTAATACTCGTACAAATGAGGAGGGTGCGTAGTGACGTCACTCATTAACATACGTCATAATTAATAATAATAATTTAATAAAATACCGATTTGTAACCTATTAGGTTAAATTACATCAGTAAAAAGTCTCATTATACTACAATAGAATATCTAGATGCATAAAATTATTCATAACTTCAGTTGAAAAAGTTATAGAGTTCAAATTTAAAAATATTAAAAATATTAAAATTATGGTATATTCATATGTGAAACCATCTGTGAAAAAAACGATTTCATAAATCTGTCCGTTTTACAACTATAGTTATTATAATCGCTTCCATAACGTGTATTATAGTTATGTTCAAGTTTAGGCGGTAAGAGGTCACCCAATTTGTCTCCATGTGCATTTTTAACAAAAAAACGTTCGCATAATAATCGCGGCCGATCTTTCAGTAAGGGTATACCAGTAATACTGCAAGCTTCTCTATAAGTCGCGAATGGCAAGACAATACGCAAAGCCCGCTTCTGGAGTTTTTCGATATCTTCACTTAGGTATTCTGTAATATTGAAGTGCCAAACTTGGCAGGCATATTCGAGTACTGGTCTGATAATGGTGCAGTATACCAAAATTAGAATGCTATTGTCGGCATTTGATCGTTTTAACAACCTTAGCATATACAGGCGTTTTCCCGCTTTTTTAACAATATGGTTCACATGCTCGTTCCATTTCAAATCATCTTGGATTGAGAGACCAAGAATTCGGGCAGATTTTACCCGCTCAATACCAACGTTATTTATAGTTAACGGTAAAAACTCATGTTTTTCTCTTGCAAAGTCAATTACCATTTCCTTACATTTGCCGATGTTGAGCTTCATATTATTAACTTCACACCAATTATAGATAACATTCACTAGATCTTGTAGTTCACTACTCTCAGTTGATGTAACTCGTTCAGCAAACGTACTGTCATCAACATACTTCCATCTATCGCTCCAATCAATAAGAAGATCATTTATCATAACAAGGAACAAAGCCGGCCCTAACACCGACCCTTGCGGCACTCCACTGTTTAACGTTTGCCAGTCCGAATGACAGTTAGCCAACTTGACTCGTTGTTTACGATCAGAGAGAAAACTTCTAATCCAATTTATAATGGTTTGGGAAACACTCATTTGTTGTAGCTTATTCACCAGTATGTTGTGATCTATTCGATCAAAAGCTTTTTCAAAATCAAGCAAGAATACTCTCACCGCATTGCTTGAAGCATCTGTAGCACTCAGGAGGTGATGGATCAGGCTCAGTAGGGCATGGGTAGCCAAGAAATTTTTAACGGAGCCAAACTGCCGCGTATCAATCTTTGCACCAATTGACTTAAGTAACCAGTCTGTAACAAACCGTTCGCAAATTTTGGATAAAGTGGGGGTAAGTGAGATAGGGCGCAAATCTTTAGAAATGTCTTTATGGACTGATTATATGCAATGACGCCACGCGGGCGAGCTTAAACACGATCGGGAGAAACTTGCTGACTACGCATTAGTGTTATATATCCAAAACATATATATTCGGAGTATATAGCTGTTTAGAGTTATATAAACACATGGAAATTAGAGGTTATGATATATAATTGTCAAGCGATTTCTATATTTTATTGCTAGTTTTTTAAAGTACTAAAACTCGGATAAGGTTAATAAATTTAAGCTATATTGAAGCACACCGGTTGCTATGTGTTGTTAGGGTGACACTAATTAAAGGATTAACTTTTATCAGAGATTTGCATTTTTCTACTGTGTGGATAAATGCGGGTAGATTAGGATATTCATTGCGCGGGCGTCGCGGGTTATCCGTGCGGGAAGAGAGAAAGCGATTTAGACAAGAAGGCCTACTCTGGGGCGGTAAATCGCCTTAAATCGCTGCGATATAATGCGATTTTGGGCGATTTTAGGCGATTTAAGGAAAAACTGGGACTTTCAAGCACCGCGATTTAGTGCGATTTTAGGCGATTTAAGAAAAATTTTTAAATTTTAAAGATTGCAATTTAGGTGTTTTCAAAGGAATTGAATTCTATATTTTGCTCCGGTTTCCTCCCACGGGGCAAAATTGGCAGGGTGGGTTAGGATAAACACAGTTAGGAAAGTAATATCATATCCTCATTGTTGTAAAGATAAATAGTCTAGGCTAACATAAGTAATCATAGTACTTGATGTAATCGATCACTGAAAAGCCCCAATGTGGGGAGTGAGCTGAATAATAATGTAATGTTTCCACACACATATGCATTGTATGAAGCAAAATACAATTATTAGAACATGTATGTACATTTTATATAAAGCTAGGTCAACTATTGTATTTAACCTGATTCACATATAAAGCTCAATATTCATAAACTTTTCACCCATTCTCTATTTAGAAGCCATTGGGGTTCATCTTGGGGGTCATAGCAGGGTGTTAGCTGGCCCATATGCTGTCCGTTTGACGGACTCTTCCCAATTGAGGGCTTTCCCAACCGGGTCTACTGGAAAATTAGCATGTGTCCCCCAAAATTTTAACGGTCGGGCAAAAATCAATGCGAAATTGGTCAAAACCTAAAAATTTCAATATTCTGTGAAAAAATTTTCGGATTGGGCGGAAATTACGGAATATTTCTTTGATATCTCCTGAAAATTTTTTTTGATGACCCCCCCCCTCCCGCTCGCCAAGAATTTTGGGGGAAATATTCAGCTAAGTCCAGTTAAAACTTTCCCAATTTACGTTTAACGGACAAATTATTTTTTTCTGGCTAACACCCTGCATAGCTACATTATATACACCACAAATATTGTAAACAGTTAATATACTCAACTTAAGGGGCATGCACTACACATATCGAGTTAAAATTGCAAAATATAATAAATATATGATTTCCAAAAAAATCACAAGGGGTAGGGGATAGAAAGTTAGAAACACACAATGTATTTATGCAGTATATTAACTAGTCTCCTACGCAGCCTGTTCGCGGGTCCGAGGTTTTCTCCCCACGTACAGGCTGCTTACTGCAGCAACACATTCCATTCCGATTGTTTAGCCAATCACAGCCTGAGTACCAAAATCAGGAACTCATTCGCGCTTAAATTTAATAATTCCGAAACAAAGATGGCGTCGTATGATCAAGCATTGTGTGAAGTCGCCCATTATTTCGTATTTCTACTTTCAACGATCAGAAGAAGAATGCGATTCGAACAATAATTAAAGAAAATGAGATGTGTTTGTCAACCCGCCTACTACAGGCTTCGGTAAATCGATTTGCCTCTCATGTGATGTAATCGCCTGTTCCACGAATAATGCCAGAGCGGTAGTTTATGGAATACCAGAGGCATTGCTCTTTATAAATCATTGACTATTTAACTGCCTTATTTATGTTTCAGTACCACCAGCTTAATACTTTACCAGATTTATTTAAAAATTATTTTGTGACAAACAACAAAATTCATTCAACAAAACTTCACGAATGTTATAAAAGGACAAATTATATTAATTATGTGAAACACAGTCTCTCATATAAAGGAGTTGATGTATGGAATTCGTTAGAAACAAAATTTAATGAAATAAATTCATATATAAACTTCAAAAAGCAAATTAAACAACACTTTGCTATACACAATTGACAATTTATACTATAAGACATGCGATAAAACATACTTCTGCATTAAAATATATGTAAATATTGTAATACTTTAGTAATATATAGCACTTTAGTTTAGTATTTTGTTGGTCATTGTTGCCGAGTCATTGTAAAAATTTAAATGCATCGCCAACATTAGTATTAATTTATATAATACGAACATTGCCCTTCTTTTTCTCTGTTTTAAATACAGACGTATATATTCTTCAAAACGTCTCATTTTACATATTGCATGTAGGCTATTGACTTACTGTAAATAATTGACTATTTAATTATCACAAATGAACAGTAACTAGAGGCCTAAATAAAAAGTCTACGAAGATGTCTAGTAAGTATCTAGCCCAAAATCGTTTAAAGATATATTTTAAGTAGCTTTTTTATACAAGGGGAAAATTAAATAAAAATATATAATATATATAAATTTGTAAACAATAACTATTTTGAACGACAAGTTGTCAATTTCAGATTACTGCATGCATTCAAATTAACACGAAATCAAAAATATAAAAATATTTATACATTTGCTAGTTAATTAAAACAATACTCTATAGCAATGTACTTAATAATACACTTACTGTAAATACTACTGATATATAGTTTTAGTTTTCATTTAGGCTTGTACAAAAATATGCTGTAAAGCAAAAGTGCTCGCGGGTTTTATGAGTTCTCAGACTTCTATGCCATGGTCACAGGCCATGGTTTCAAAAGTGCTCGGGAGTCGGGTTTTATTTTAACGCATAAAACCCGAACACTTTTGAAACCATAGTCATAGAAGTCTGAGAACTCATAAAACCCGCGAGCACTTTTGCTTTACAGATTTTTTGTACAAGCCTAAATGAAAACTAAAACTATATATCAGTACTCAGTAGTATTTAAGTGTATTATTAAGTACATTATATAACCTCAGTCGAGCGAGATTATTTGAGGATACCCAACACATAGCCGGTCGCGCTGATTTCACCATTTCTTTGCTTGAGCAGCACAGAGCCACATAGCTGCTCCAGATTGAATTTCATTAGATCATCCTCCTCAGTTTTTCTTAACACAGTTGAGAGTTTCTTTCTAAAACACAAATCGCTAACTTCCTGGGAAACGATCTCAAGCAATTTCTGTGTAACCACTTTGCGGACGGGTTGCATTTCACAACTGCCGTATATAGTGACTCTCTATAGAGGTCCATACAGTAACGCTTTCCCCAATGTATTATAGGTATCATTTACAGTTTTACTCACAGTTCTAA